GCTATGGCAAACAATCATACTGCTCATGAAATGTTACTGTAGATACAGAGCGATGCCGGCAGCTGTATATTGGGTTGTTAACCTGAGTGCACAAGCACAGCTCAGACACGTGCCGGTGGTGCTTTCAGCCTCTCGCTCCGAGAGCGGCTGAATAACCCTCTTTTAGCCCATTTCCTTGCGTCCTGAGGCTAACGACCCTGCATGCACACACAGCATCCAGACCTGTTTCATGGGGGTATCAGCACAGGCAAGGAATTGGGGCCCGTGGTCTTTCGGATGAACATCACCCCCCTTCCTGAGATACCTATGGAGGTAAGCTTAGGGAAAAAAAATAGACAAAGACATACATATAGTTGAGCATAACATCACAGGTTGCTCAGAAGGCTGGTAGGACAGGAGGCAGCTGTGAGCTCCATCACTGTAATTTAGCAAGATGCATCTCAGACACTGGCAAGGAGCAGCCAGCTCTCCAGGACCAAGGACACGTTGATACCAGCAGTCAGATACTGCGAGTTTGGCAGGTGGCTAAATTGGCTCCACAGCCTCACCGGCCCTTGTCGGCGAAGGGAAGATGCCGAGTCTCAGCACAGAGGGCTGTAATGAGGATTAATAAGGCGTGTGAAGACGCTCTGTAATTGTCCGGCTGGCTGTTTCCTTTGCACCTTATGTTATCATTTATGCTCATGCAAAGTGGCTGTAAAATGCTCCAGGTCTGATTCAATATAACTCCGCAGGCTCTTCGTACAGGTGTAAATTGCTCTGTGAGGTTCAGGGCACCGTCTAAATGCAAATGAATCTGATCATCCCTGTTGTCTTTTTTTTTTTCTGTAAAATCCTCTGCACCAATTGAACATTTTAATGCCCAATAAGCTGCAAAATATCAGGTATTTCATGCATAAACTTACTCCCCAGAAACAGAATTTGCAGTGCCCCAAGGTGGGCTGAAGCTGCATCAAGATGCCACGGCTGGGCCACCAGCACTGTGGTCCTGTGGGCTGGCAGCTGCCCACAGCCATAAGACCAAGCAGAGAAACATTCACATCATAAACCTCAGGGGCTGGTGCACAGTGACGGTGAGTCTGAACCCAGGAGAAGCCATGAAAAATGAAGTAACGACATAATTTTGGAGGGAATGGGCAAAAAACAATGCCTGACCTTGCCCAGACATAGGAAAAAACAACTGCAAACCTATGGCAGCTATAAAATGAGTCTGAACTAAAACGTATGAGTTGATATTACAGGAAATAACCCTTAAGAGGTGGAAGGCTTTGATAGATGCACTCCTACAGGTAGCTTCAATCCCTGGCAGCTGCAAGGCTTCAATAATGAATGTCAGACTGCTGGCCAGCTGCGAGGGGAATAAACATGTATTTGCCTTCAGTGGAAGTAGCATCTGTTTGACATATGACATTCAAATGATATGAACTTTAAAAGAGTGGTTAAATGACTGCTGTTTGACTTGAAACCTTGAATCCACCGAAGCAGCATCGCAGCCGTTTACCTTAGCTCTGTGGGAGATTGAATCACTGGGCTTAAAAATGAAAGATCAAAGTGTTTCTGCAAATTCAGGCCACGGTAAGTCGTGTGTCTAGCCGATAGCATACATGTGCCTGAGTGATTAGAGGTGTAAAGATGGGTCCTCCTGTTAAGGTGATGTTGTCGTGTCCTTTGACACCGCATATGACTGCTGCTGGCACACGTGGGACTGAAGAGCCACAGAGGTGTGTCTGTGCGACAGACAGACGGGAGAGGGTGGGGGGGACGAACTCTGGGGCCGTGGGATAGAATGGGGTGAGAAAGAGGGGGTCTCTCCACCTGGTCCCGTCCTGCAGTCTGGCACCCCTTCTTCTGGCACCCTCTACCTCCTGGTAGAGCTGGTTGGCTCCTCTTTGAGGCTCTTCTGCATTTTGCCTTGCAGGACTCCAGCCCAGCCTGTGCCGTGTCCGTCACCAGCTCATTTTTGAGTTGTCTAAGAAATGACCGCTGCAAAGAATTTACCTCTCTATTTTAGGAGACCTTGTTATGCACTTCTTACATTAGCCTTTCAGCTTAATACCAGCAGTCATAACACTTTTATAACCTACCTGCTGAAGTGGTTTTGCTCACAGTCCTCACACTAAAACAAGAGCTCAGGAGCAAAGCTGCTGCAGGAAAAAAAATCACTGCTTCCTGACCTTTAGGCAGACTCTGTGGGCTGATTATTCCATCGATTTTAACCAAATCGAGCATTCAATAAGGGTGTCCGGAGGCCTGTCTCTCTTCAGCAGTGGGTCCAGTACAGCACCAGCAGCAATAATACAGACAACCTCTATGCAAGCCTGGGTCAGGGTCAGGAAAGCTCCAAGCGCCTTGCAAATTGCGCCAGGCACGACCACTCTACCAGGGACCGGCCGGGGGACCCCCCGCTCGCCAGCTCACGCAGCGATGGCAGAGGACCGAGAGCCAGCAAAGCACTCGAACACATGTTAAGCCTGGCAGCGATACAACTTCAACGAGTGAGCACCATGTTAAGTGCGAGTGGGTGCTCTCACTTGAAACCAGCCTAAATAATTGAAGCATGAGTGAATGGGGCCAGATTTGAATGATGCAACTTGATGGTGAACTATCCTTACAGAAGGAGCTGTTGCTAAGCTGAAGCTATGTTTGCGTTCGGAAGCGGTGCTGTGCTATAGGAGAGGGATGTGTAGAGCAAAGGAGTTGATGCTGAGGACCCTATATTCATCCTATATGTTTTTTAGGGGGACTTGCTTCAAGCTGTCAGCAGCTGGAGCACGGTAGATAAGCTGAAGCACTTCTGCTTTAGCGTCGTCCAAAAGGAAACCCATTTGCTCACTCTGTGACCTTGCTGTGATCTGAATCAAAGCATGGCATAAGGTGGATGCACGCCAAAGCTCACTATTGCCTAGCTGTAAAGAATTTTAAAAAAAATTTTACATGGAGGTAAACTGAGGCACGCAGCCGTTGAAGAGCACAGCTCTATTTCCCTCTAGCTACGGGGGAGTGGTGCATGCTCGTTAGCCCCAGAAATCGGACCAGAAAGGGTTCACATAGAACAACCCCCAAATAGCTGCTCAGTCTGGAATAAAGCCAAGAAACAGTGTCCTGTGTGCTGTGCCTGCTGGTACGCTCACTGCATCCGAGTGATTCCCCACTGCAAGGTCACCCCCAGCTACTCCACAAAGCCAAAATCTGATGGCAAACCTCCCTCTAAGACAAGTGGGAACCGGCAAAAGTGTGCACTTAAGGGGTTGTGCTCTTAAGCACGACCGAATTCAGTGAAATGAAGACGAGATTTGGCATGCCTCAGCATCATTTTGTCCCTTGCCAGAATCCCGCGCAGGTGCCGGGAGATAAAGCGGTGCTGTGCGTTCGCCGGTCGGTCTCTCCGCGGGTACGTCGGTGCTGCCGGTCGCAGCAGCCTGCTCACCCGCTTCATCGGCACGGGATGCCAGCAGGTGAAGACGCCTTTGAACAGAGATGAGAGAGGCTGAAATCCTTTGACACCTGCAAGTGAACTGTATATTACCAAAATGTTAAGCAGCTTTGTGAGAGAGATTATCCTGAAGGATGTTTTCCATAGTGTTGACATTTGCATGTGAGTGATTAATTCCACCACAGGCATGGAGCGAGGAGGCAAAACCCTTCCCTCGCTGCCAACCGGGCAAGCTATGGCCTTTGCTCCAGCAAGGTTATTAATTCATCCCTGACCTGTGACACTGTGTGTGACTTTGTCACCCTCATCTTCTCGGTCACCTCTCAAGGCAGAGACCTGAGGATTTTCCATGCCCCTTTTTGTGAACCGCTGTGACGGTGCAGGCACTTTTCGGCTGTTTGTTCTCCAGGGCTCTGACTGCTTCTATATTTTGTTGTTCTCCCCTGAGATGTGCCATCACAGTCAAACACAGTGCCATGGCTTTAAAAAAAGGACAGTAACAGCTGAAAATGAAGACAAATTGTCGCTTTTGTACATTGGTGGCTGAAGGGAGCTGCACTGCTGCAGATTACGAAGGCAGAAGGGGAAGCCGTGGCTGCCCGAGCTGCTCGGAATTTTCTAACCCTCTCACCCAGCTCATTGGTGACTCTCTAGAGAAGCAGTCTTACTCTTCCCCTTACGTTTCCAGGCAAGGGTGTCTTTCACAGGGGAGTTTAATCTACTGCAGAAAGGTTATTATGTCTCTTTTGGGGTTTTCTACTCAATTCCTCAAAAATATAGAAAGGAAATACAAAAAGAATATATCTGTCTATCTATCTAAGAATACAAAAGAAATATAAAACCTGCTGTCTGGTGACTAAAGTTCCTCAGCCCAATTTCGCAATGGAAAACACCTCACACCATCAATGGCTCTGCTCAGCTATTTATTTTGGACTGGGATATCTTAAACGCCGCATCTCCAGAAGCAGTTCTTACTACTGATGGTACACATGGGGTAACGCCTTGGATTCATTCAGGATATGATGAGTTTTCATCCTCTAGGAATGCAAGCAGCATTATACATGGTAGTGACCGGGTTAGATACATATGCACATGCAAGTATTTCACCCAGCGCTGAAATTTGACAGCTTGGAAGCAGAAGACATCCTCCCGTGGAAGGGTACACTGAAGCAGGTGCGTGAGGTGTTTAGGAGAGAGCATGGAGAGCACTTTACACCCTGCATGAGGTCAGCTGGTTGCAGCATGGAGCAGATGCTGGAATCAAAGCCCTCTGCTTTCACAGAAAGACAAATGCTGGCTGAGACTAGCAAGGCTGCGCCCTCAGTAATTTGTGGTGCTACAAGGTGACAGTGGAAGAATGAACTGCAAGACAGGACTTCTATCTCCACTCTGTGGCACTGATTTTTGAGGCAGAGGGAATTCCTTTGAGAATCCCACCAAAGAAGTGAGGAAGCCCAGCTGGGAGAGGTGATGAGACCACATCGTTGTCTGGCCAATGGCTTATGAGACCTACAGATGGATTCACTTGTGTATAGAGGAAAGAACAGAATCAGAGACTGGCATCAGCTGGTTACAGAAGAGGTAAAAGTGAGCTTTTTATTGCATTTAGCCCTCCAGTAGCAGTTTCTGGAGGAATAATATGAAATGTGAGCATACAGGTCTTCTAGAATCTACAAAAATGACAAAGTCTAGCAAGACTTCCCGGCTCTCAATAGCCAAAGGCAACACCTTTCTTCCAGACTAGGGTTCTCCAGGACATCTGAAGGCTCTCAGTGCTGCACCCTGCATCATTATTAATTCAGTTAAGCTGGTCTTACAATGGCCTAATATAAATCAGAGATTAAAAGGTGTTATGACGGCAGTATAGATGGTGCCTGTGTTGACAATCCCTTCTATGGGAGATGGCTGCACGCCCGTGGTAAAATAAGCAAACGGGCAGGGCACTTCTCTCCCATTCTGCAAATCTCCAGTCATTAGGGGTAACTGCTTATCTCTGGCCTCCTCCAGTTAACTCATCTGCAATCTGAATCATGCAAAAGCCATCTAAAACCATAAGAAAATCTAAATAAATCAGCATCAGAAAATTTGCCGCAGGCATTCATTCCTACAAGGATGTGACCACTTTAACACTTGTCAGGGTCATAGCACACAGCTGAGGAAATAGCCCTGGACAACTCTGCATTCCCACAAGAATAGAACCAGAAGACATACAGAGTCACCCAGCAGGCAGTAGGAACAGGAGCAATGGTAGCATTACTTAACTATGTGCAATTTGCTCTCCCTATCTTGATTTGAATTACACTGCCAGAAGAGACTGACAGTGTCTGGAATCAAATTGCTTAGAAAAGTACCTCTTCAGAGGGAGAGAAAAAAATGCCCAAATAATTTGAGTGCAAATGGTCTTGCAAAATGCCTATTGTGATCAGGGACAGCAGGACCTGGGGCTCGTGTTCATTAGGATAATGCTCATGTATTTATGCTGGGCCAAACCCCTCAAGCCCTGTTGTGAAATGGGGGGTTGCACCACTGACATTTCTACAGCACACACATCAACCTGGGTCTCCTCTCAAGAGTTAGAGGAGGCACCATCAAACAACAGTCTCTGATCTGTTCCTGCTTCCTTCACTTCTCCAGATCAGCATGGGCTCTGGGGACCATCTTCAGGACGATGGGCTTCTTTGGTTGCATGAAACCTTTTGTGTCCAGAACCAGCGGGATCTAGAGCAGGAGGCAAAAAACCAAAATAGCCATTAAGCTGGGAAAAAGGACAGTCATGACACTGACAGGACCCCTACAGCCCACATACATCTCAGCCACCCCTTGTTTTCAACGCATTTCCTAACTTACAGGTGTACTTATAGCAGGACCATCACTATTGCTCATGCAAAACAGCTACGAGCTAGGGTTTAATAGCCCTCAGCTCTTGAGTAAACTGGTTAGTGAATTCTGGCTTTCACATGGCATGGTAGGGAGAGCTCAGTGCACTGATCAACAGGCTGCACATGGAGGGAAAAGCAGCCAAAATCCACCTGGGGAGCTGCAGCTAAGGAGGGGCACGCAGTGCCATTTTGTTTAATGCTGAAGTGTGTCAGCGCTAAGGGGAGCTAGATCGTAATGGGAGCTGGAGAAGCAATAACCTCTCTGGGAAGAACGAAACTAAGATTGCTGCTCAGATTGAATACCAAAGAAAAAGCATCCTCACACAGAAAAGCGAGAGGCTCCCATGGGTAGGCTGGAAATCTCAATAAAAAGAACATTTAAAGTGGGTGTTGGAAAGAGTCATCTTACAGGGGAGGGAAGAGAGTTTTACCAAGTCTCCCCCATCAATTTGATGCTGCTCGTATCCCGGCTCTCCTTCTCCCCATCAGGACAAAGGTGATACACCCCCAGCCCAACAAGCTACATTAAAATCCCCATATCCCAGTAAGCTTTGTTTCGGGAAATTTAAACAATGTGGCTTGGAGCCCAATGTGCCATCAGTGGAGGAGTGAGAGGAGGCTGCAGCTTCCATATACATATTCCAAAGGGATGTTCTGGCATGAATTTTTCCCTCCTGCTCTTATCTCACGTACATGACATCTTCTGTAGAAAAAAGGGCTGAAAGAGCCCCATAAACTTATGGGCACCAATAATACAATACATATTTAACTTGTCTCCTTTTAATTAAAGGAAGTTATAAAAAGAATCAATTTTATGGATTGCAGAGGACTAGAAAAATGTCATTAGACTCGGGGGAGGGTGGATAGGTCACTGCATTGTTAATGGACTATTACAGTCTTTCACCTCCAGGTTACTAGTTGAGTTGCAATCTGAATCTGCAGAGATTCCAGCCGAGCACCCATGCCAAGTAACAATTTAATAAGGATTTTTCTGTTTCTTACAAGAAATGTCCTTTGAGTACACTTGCTGCCCCCTCTGCTCTGGTTTCCCAAGCTCGCCTCATGAACGAAATGTATTAATGGCACAGGCTTTTGCAGCAGTCAGTGCAGAGAGCAGGGTCGGGGCTGGAAACTAACACCAAACATAGTGCTACCGGCCTCTGAGTCTCAGGGAGTTGCCATGTTTTCAGGAGGGCTTGCTTGACATACACTTTCCAACAGCCATCGCATTTACTTTATGTCAAACAGCCCCATCTTGCAGGGCCTGTCCCATCAGTACCGCATGCGGCATTCGCTGGGATGCCGGGCAAAACCAAAACCTGGAGGGATCCTGCCTAGCTTCAAAGGGGGAGAGGGTCGCCAATTCAAATTTAGCTCAGATTGCGCTTGCTTGAAAATTGTTAGCCTTTAGAGACTGCCTGGTGGCCCGTAAGAGATGAGTTTTGGTGTCTTGGGATCTCTCACAGAGAATAAACATGTTTGTGCGGCAAAGCGCAGCTTTGGAGCGGGCTGGGGGGATATTCCCTTTCTGCTCGCTGGAGCAGGGTCTTCCTAAGCCGGGTCAGGGCAGACTGGCAGTGCACCATGGGGGAGCGAGCACCCTACAACTTAGGTACACCCAAAGAGACGCAGAGGACTTTGGGGATTTCAGCCTGACATATTCCACCAACATTAAATTTGCTTCTGTAGAGGCTTAAAAAAATGTATCAGTAACTTGTGGTAAACCATTTAAATTAACTGAGAAGATTTAAATACAGTTATTCCCATATGCCTCTCTAATCCACAGTGAAATCTTCCTCCCTGATCTCTGTGTGAAGTAGTAAAACTCAAGTCTACAGGCAAGGTTCAGTGGTCTCTGAACTCCTTGGGGAAGAGAGGTATTTAATGTGCATGTGAGACTGTTCCCCATTTGTCCTGAGATGTAGGCAAGAGAGCGCACAGGACCATCTCAGTGGGACTAAAGGGCAGGTAATAAAACACATCATCCCATATCCTCACCAGAGTGTCTTTGCAGGTTCTGAATGAGAAGTTTTGCAACAGGACAACTATAGCTACTTTCATGATGAGGAGAGCAAACCTCATTCCTATGCAGTTCCTGGGGCCAGCCCCAAATGGCAGGAAGGTGTAGGGGTCAATAGAGTCTTTGCTCTCTTTACTGAACCTGTTTACAAAAAAAAAAAAAAGTTAGAAAGAGCTACTGTTCCAGGATATGTCAGCTTTCAGATCTGAAGTGATGAGAGGTCTGCGAAGGCAAAAGCTTTTTGTGTTTCTGTATGTATTAGAAGAACCCAGCTAAGTCCCTTATTTCTGTCTCAATAGAAACCTTATGCCGCTGCTTTTATCCTGCTGCTTGGAGTTGGCTGTGTGTCTCCAGATGCATCAGGTGAACAGGGAATACCTGAAATATGCTAATGGATTTCACAGCTACACTTTTCTCAGAACTCCCTCTCAGCTCAAAAACTAAACCCGGATTTCCAACCCTAAACCACAGAGGTCTACAGCTTCACGTCTTCCCTTTAGATCAAAGGACTGAGCAAACACAAAGACGTTCTCCCCTTGTGTGACAAAAGGGAGGGTTGCTTTTGAGACATGCCAGCCATTCCTCTCCTCATCATGAAAAACAGGGAAGAACAATCAGTTTCACAGAGAAATTTGCCACTGAGCAGTTTCAGTAATACTGCTTAGTGATCAGTCAGTTTTCATGTCAGAAAGCTTTTCATTCCCGGTGCCTGAGGTCCAGGTACAAACCTCAGCCATGCTAAGTCAGCAGTGAAGTATCTCGCTACTGAGACACCAGCACATAGCTCTGATGAACTCCCAGCAAGGCAAGTGATCCCTAAAGAGCTCCTGTCCAGCTACCCATGCCCAGTTTGTCAACTGGAGTAAGGATGCAGCTACTGGAGCAACTGGTGTAACATGCCCATTGCCAGAGTACTCCCATTTGAGTGGTTCCTTCTGCATTCAACACGAGGTGACCATAGGGGTCCATAGGGGATTTCAGCAGCACCCATCTCCCTCCCTAACTTCTGCCTGATACTGCTGCCACGTTTTGTCTCAAAAGTCAATCACATCTCCACACTGTGGTTAGCTTCCAGGGGCATTTCAACTCCTGATGCAAAGGCACAGATCTGGTTCTGCTCTCTCTGGACCAGCCCTCAGTGTCTTTGTGCCACCTGAAGACTGGCAGGCCCAGGGTCTCCTGGGTCTGCCTTGGGCTATTGCCTCATTTCGCAGGGTCTGACAGAGACTCCTGAGCAAGGATTTTTTCATAACTTGAGTTGAAAATTAAGTTTTATTTCCTACCTGTCTTTGCCCTTCCACTGCTGATTTGCACGGCATTGTGCCAGTCACCCAATGGCTCTTGTTTTAATATCTGGCCATAAACCCCTCAGTGTTACAGCTGCTGGGAGCTGCTCTCACTGTTGCTCCCTTCAATGCAGTTAATTAAATTCCATGCACAGTTTATGGATGTAGATCATAAAACTCCCCTCACGGTAATGCTGGGACTAGATGTCAGACAATGATAAATGCCTAATTTAAATGTTATAATCATGTATTCCCCACTTTCCCTGCCATTTCCACTCCCAGGGCTGAGGTTGAGCGTGCAGCTATTCCCCCTGCCTGTCCCTCACCTCTCAGGCCTGAACTCCTCTGGCTCCGGCCAGTACTCCGGGTCACGATGTAGCACGTAGGCTGGGATCATGACTACCATGCCCTTTGGAATAGTCACACCATTGAGCTCCACCGCCTTCTTGCAGATCCTCTCAAGCCGGCTCCCAGGGGGGTAGAGCCGGAGGGATTCGTTCACCACCATATCGAGGTACTCCATCTGCTTGATGGCGTTGTATGTGGGAGTAGCCTGGGGAGAGGAATCAGGATGGCTATGAACACGGGACTTCACTCCCCACCCCAACACCCCCCCAACACTTCCCCTTCAGGCATCAGAGACCAGAGGAGGGGAAATCTCAGTGCCAGCACCTCCTCCACTCTGTTTTGTTTCCAACCTGGCTTTTGGCTGAGGGTCTACAAGGCACAGGTGGAACAACACCAGCATCTCCCCACCTTCCTTTACCTTGTTGGGCAGGTTTGCATCGATCTCATCCTGAAGTCGCTGCTGCACGTCAGGGTGGGTGGCCAGGTTATATGATATGTAGCTGAGGGTGGAGCTGGTGGTCTCATAACCAGCAAAGATGAAGATAAGAGCCTGGGCCAGAATCTCCTCATCACTTAATGCTGAAAAGAGGCATAAAAGCACATGCAAGAAGCTGAAAACTACAGTGATTAACCCTTGGGAATTCAGGATCCCACTCGTCAATCTAGGTAACGCTATTCATAATTCTTAACAGCTGGTAAAGGAAACATCCAGCTAACCCTCTGGTACCACAAAGGGGTGGGTCTGGCACTGTTGTACAGCCAGAAAACTGCTGTCAAAATCAGCAGTGTTACGTTGCTTTCTTTAAGAGCAGAATCAGGGTATGTGCAGCCTGAGCCTGATTCAGAAAGTCTCTGCTATCTTCTGGGACCATGCTCCTGGGCCAAAAAAAATAGGGGCACATGCCAGGAAAAATCAGAGATGAAGAGATGTCCAGCAGCTCCTCTAAGCCACGAGGTGAGCCTTGTGCTGCTGAGGGATTAGTAGCCCTGAGCATAATGTGGCATTGTTAATAAGGAAAATACAGGATTTAACGCTGGTACTGCAGTAGTGTCCAGGCGCTGCCAGGATGCAGCCTGCAGTGCAGGGTGCCGTACAAATACCCTGTCCTGGCACCTCAAAAGTTTACGAGCGTCCTGCCTTGACTGAGGTTGATGGACTGGGCCTATGCCTTGGCTGAGCCATTATTTTCTAAATCTAACAGTTTACCTAGGATGAGGAACAGAGATGAGCTCACAGATGAGCAAGGTACGTGCAGCATATGTGCTTTGTGTGCTTTATGAAATACAGCCAACTTTGTTGGCTTTCAGAGAAGATAAAATAAGAAATGGGAGTAAGGAGATATTCACTCTGTTTGCTCTTTGTTGCACAAACAGACCTCAGGATTTATCCCAGGAAATGGGATATAATAAAATATGGCTGATATGTGATAAACATCATTACGGCCCAACTACTGAGACCTTGAATCTCGCGTAGGATTAATGCCTAAAATCCTCTCCTACTTCCTTCCTTTAACCGCACGAGGAACTACCGTGCTTTCTGCTGAGAGGAGGACAGATCTCAAGACATACATTTGTATGAGTCAGTCTCAGCAGACTTGGAGCTGTCATGTGAGCACTGCGAGTCAACCATGAGTTGCAGGAAATCAACCCGGTCCTGTGGAGAAACAAAGGCAGTCAGAAGACGTGGGTGGGGAGGAGGCAAACCTTGTCTAGCACAAGCTCCTTGCTGAGACACCTGCTCCATTTGCAGCCCCACCAGCAGTCTCATGGCTTCAATGCATGTTGAGGTTCAGACTAGAGACCCTCTGTGAACACAGATACTTTCTCCACATGGAAGCCCAGGTGGGGCATGCTTCTGGCCCTCCCCAGGTTTGATGAGCTGGGAGCTGTTATGGAGAGTAGGCAACACACCACAGCTTCTGAAGATGCTACCAAGTCCCTCCTGCATTCAGAAGGACAGCACAGTGAAGAGAAGAGGCCACCTGGGCTGGACTCACCGTGCTGCTGCCCTTTTCCCGTTCCTTCTTCATTTTTATGAAGACGCCCTTGAAGAAGTCCATGGCCTTTGAGGAAAATATTGTCACATTCATCTTTTCCAGCACTGGGATAACAAAAGGGAACAACACTAAAAGGAGAGATGAGAACGATATGTTTTAGCTCAAAGGGGCCCAAGAAACTAAAAACTGGCACAAAGCATAGAAAGGAGAGGGGTAAATCTGGACCCTGACCCAAAAAAATTGGTTTTTGTTTTCTTCAGCTCTCTTTTTACCTAACCATGGCTGGCATGCAATAGCACTTGAGAATCTCCTCCATATATCACTGTATGGCCACAACGCCACAGTAAGTGCAGGTGTCTGTGACAGAGAAGCTCTCCATTGCGTCTCTGTAAACAGGGTCTCTGCTTGTAGGAGGATGCTGCAAAGACCCACATGGGTTATACAAATCTTGACTGTGGATTCCCTGTTTACATGTTTCTACAGACCTGCTAGGGTGAATCTAATCCTGCAAAGCGCTAAGCATCTCCCACATGGCAAAGAGGACTCAGAGCTACTAAGGGAGCTACCAGGAAATGGAGGTGGTCACCACCTCTGACATCGATTCAGGGCTGTGTGAGATGAGCTGTGTCATACCTGAGAGTATGAACACGGGGTTTAGGAAACTGAAGTTGAGAAATTCCTTAATGTTGGTGACAAAGGGGTCATTGGGGTTGCTCATGGAGTCAATATTCACACTGAAAGAAGTGCTGGCCACCACATCCATGCTGTAGGCTCCAAAAATGCTAGGTAGAGAAGAAGAGAGAGTGAATGGGATGAACCCAACCAGGGTAGTAAATAAGAGCCCTTCTAGGAACAATCCTTGATAGGGAATCCCTTGAGAGGGAATCTCTTTTAATCAAGGACTCAGTGCAGAGTCCTAACATAGTAGGTCCTGTCCTGATTTGGCAGTAACTGGCATTATACTTTTCCAAGTTTCCCCAGTTGCATTCATCCCCCAATTTTTCTCAGTGTCAAAAACCTAGGCTGCAGTTGGAAAGCACTGCAGTCCTGGGTAACAAAGACTGTATTCTGATTTCCGTCTGTAAAAGAGATTGTAAAAATGGCATTAAAAAATACCATATCTTGCAGGGCTTCTGGAATGGCCCTACTCCTTCCTCAAAATACATCCCCAGAGAAACGAAACGGGGAATAGAGCACAGCCACCCCGTCTGAACAGAGCACAGCAAGCCCACTGCAGAGGAACATACCATGCCCATGACCACTATGGGATTTGCCTCCATAGCTGACAAGGGATCTATGCTGCAGGATGGAAAAGGCTCTCCAAAATAGCCCCTTCCCCACACTGAATACAAACTCTTTCCTGTCAGCCCCACACAGTTACTTACTCCTTCATGGTAATGAACTCATCATTAGCCACTTTCTTCTCAATGTTCTTCACTAATTTTTCACCATAGTGGTTAATGATAGGGAACATCTGAAAGGAAAACCAAAGCAGAAGGCACTGTTGACTCTTTCACCTCCACCAAACAAGGCTGGGCAACTCCACACTGCCCTCTGCAACTTGCCCAGTCTTTGCCTTGTTGAGGAAGGGCAGGCATGGGGAAGGTATCATTGCCAGGCCTCAGACATGGCTTTCTCTCATCTTAATAACCAGTCCACAGAGCTCATCTGAGCTCTATAATTGAGCAAGGTTCTCCTCCCAAAATCCACACGCAGCTCCCATTCCAGCTAAGCCTCCACTCCAGCTGGGAGTGAACATGGCTTCCAAGTGCATGGAAAATGGGCACCCATGGTCTGAGTGATGCGCTTAGCAAGAAGAAAATACAGGTCATAGGGCCAACAGCCTCAGCTTGCAATACCTTGTGTGACATTTCATCCCCCATACCCTTCTCCTGACTCCCTCCCCATTATGGTAGACAGCCACCGTGTTGCTGAACTGCACCGAACAACACAGGTGCTAATGAATGTGGTCTTGACAAATGGGGTGACTTTCCCATTTGAGGGGAAGGTTTGTACTCGGCAATGGCCCGGTCCTCCTCCAGCTATTGATGCAAAGTACCAGTGGCCTCTGCTTTACCTCCTTCAGCTTCCCGCTGGTGAAGGTTGGAGAGAGCACAGTGCGAATCCTTTTCCACTTCTCATCTTCAGCCACGCTGATGGCCGACTCCAGGATCCCGTTCAGACTGGAGTTCTGCACAAGGAGAATTTTACAGCAAAAGGGACACGGTTATACATGGAGATGGGTGAAGGTTTCCAACCCCCTTCAACGTGACAGCAATGTCAGAAAAAACCCCCACCATGAAGTATTGACTTGGCCCCTGAAGTCCTATCAGGTCTACCTCAACTAGCAAACAACAGAAATGGAAATAAAAGCGTAAGAGTCATAAATGACATCGGTCCTAGGGTACATCCAGGCTGATGTCCCCACGTCCCAGCCACAGTGGCCTCTACACCTCCCTAGTTTTGTTGTTGGTACCATCAATAAACTGGGACACAACGGAGAGCAACTACTTGCTGAAGGGCTCAAAGAGAACAGAGACCAAGAAGAAACAATTTCTTTCTTGCTCCATGCACTCTGTACTGGAGAGGAAAGCACAGGACTAGATACGTACCCGGCGATTGGTAAAAACCGTATAGCACTCTTTCACCAGGATGTTTTTGATGAGGATGAGGTCCAAAACGATCAGCACAGGCTGCCTGCCATCAAAAATCCTAAGCCAAGAGAAACCCACAGTCAGTCCATCGCTCACGGTCAGTCGGAGCAAAAGCAGCCTGCTTTGTCTGTGGCCAGAGCCATGCACATTGACTATTGGAGCCCAGAGGGTTTGGGCCAGCTGAGTCCCCTCTGACAAAACAGCCAAAGGGATGAGGCTGAAACTGTTTTATTATGTAGTAAAACAGGAGAAAGGGAAAGAAAGTGCCAAACAGAGACAGCATGAGCATTTCTAGCAGTCGTCTGTGGTATTAAAGTGTTGCCAAAGCAGTGTGGGTTTAGATAAAAGGCAGCTTTTGCCATGACATTGATCCCCTGCACTTGGGCTGTCTGAGCTCTGTTTCCACAACTGGTAGCTGGAGTCAATAAATCCACACCGAATAGCCTACCTGTGGGGTAAAGAGATTTCTCTGCGTGGCCTATGAGGCAATGAGAGGGGAAAAACTCGTCTGTCTCCTCCATTTTCCAATCAACAGAGACAGAAAAACTTAAAAGCCGTGGTGTGGGCTAAAGGGCAGGAAGCCTTGGGCCACAGCCGAGGGAAGCTGCCATCTTCAAGAGGCTTGAGAACATTTAATCTTTCAAAAAATGTGCTAGGTTTCATGAAGCCTCCTAGGATTTTTTTTGTGCAACAATTTTGCTTCAGTTTGAGAGGTTCCCAAGAGAAGCATGATAAGAGGCCCCTGCACAAAACCAGCGCTGTGCAGGAAGCGGGGAGGCAGGTTGAAAGGTAGCTCGTGCCTCGGCTCTGGGAGAGGCAGGGAGCAAGATGAAAAACATTGCGGCAGCCTGCAGCTCGTTTTCTGCTCAAGACAGACAGAAGAGCAGCTTCAAAGGCATGAGGCTCAGTTTGACACCAAGCAGTGGAGTTTTCTGGGCAGGCTGCATGGTTGGGAAATGATTGGTGCCTTCCCTCACTGATGCATCTGGAGCTAAGAGATAAAGGTATGGCCGTGATGATTTGGCGGGTGTTGGAGGACAAGGGGAGCTCCCTGGGTGCTCTGTGGTGCAAGCTTTCCTGGCCCCGAGGTCACTAACACTGCTGTTTTGTTTTTAATGCTCCCAAAGGGAAAAAGAAAAAAAGGTTATTTTCAAAGCTTATGCAAACAAATGACCCTCCAGACCGGCCGCCGTCATCCCAGCCCTGCACCGTACTGAAATCCCAGCAGGAGAAAAGCCTTGGAGAGATGGCTGGAGGCTTTGCCGGTGGTGAACCTGGATTTTCTCCGTGACCCAAGCTGTCACTGCTGGAATTACAGTGCTGAGACATGGTGGCATCATACTTTTTTCCATTCTATTTTGGGGCCGCGGAGCACCCCAAACAGGCAGTTTCGTTCTGCAGAAAGAAACTCACCCCCAGATTTTGCCATACTTTTCAAAGCACATCCAATCAAAATTCGTGATTCCCTGCAAAAGAAGAAAGGAGAAATGAACCGTTTGCCAGCGAAGAGTGATCAAAGCAGGTCACAGCTGGCAGTGCAGTGCATCCCACAGACCCATTGTAAGTGGCAGAGGTTGGGGGATGCATGGTAGCTCTTAAGAGCTTAGGGGACATTTGCACTGGAGGGAGAAAAGAGAGCAGAGAGAGAGAAAAAAAACCCAACACTTTCAACTTCCACTAGCCAACCTGAGCTAAAAATGTAATGAAGACAAGGAATGAGAGGGTACACAGTTTTGGCGTGAGCAGAGTCAGCAGGCAGAACTAGATCCCAGGGTGTCCTTTCATCTTCAGCTCAACAAGTTAGAGCTGCTTCTGCCTTGTCCTCATGAGATCTTCCACTGCAGTTACTCAACCGGAGTGATGATGGCTTTTTTGTTTTGCTTTGTTTCCATTAAGGTTTTAACTGATGTTACATGTAAGGATGAAACTTATGGGACACATAACACTCACCATGCATCAACTAAACCATTAGTGGGAGACCACATGCATGCTGTAAGCCCAGAAAACACAAGCTAAAACACCTCTTTCACTGAAGCAATAAATTGTGTTCTGCATTTACAGTCAGTTACCTGGGACCAGCTACTACCTAGTTATTTGGTAAGGTTTGGTAACTTGATAATATTTGAGTTTTATTTAGAAATCTATTCACCTGGCTTAGTCTCAGGCTGGCCCAACAGCAAGTGGCTAGATGGGGCATTGCTGGGGCTAATTCAGCCTCTTCATGGGGATGACACAAAGCACAAAGAAACATGCAGTTCTCAGAAATTAGCAGTCTTAAGCACCTCTCTAATTTATTTTTTTCTTTGTTTCCAGCAGATCTTCAGCTGCTGGGGAGCAGGTAGAAATCCGGGGAGAAATTAATAACTTAAATTACAAAATAGTTGAAAAACGCAGCACACCTCATTCAGGTCAACCAGACTCTAAAGTAATTTTTGCGTTCTCTGTGTGTCCAAAGAACTTCCTACCTGAAAGCATCATTTCCACCCGACTGAATCAAGGGCAGAGGAAAGAGATGCTCAAAGGATGGGAAAAGCAGCACCAGCTACAAGTAAGAATCTCAGGCAGCTACGGAGCAGCAGCTGCCGGTACTCACGTGCCGGTACTCCAGGAGAGTTCCTAAAAATGGCAGAGGCCGTGGCCCGGGAATGCCCAGCTTCTTGAAGGCCTGGAAGGGCCATATCCCATAGCTGCCAAGCAAAGAGCATGTGAGATACATTTATGCAATGAAAAGAGAAGGTTCTTCATCCTGAGTACAGCGAACAGCTTAAATAGCCAGTTCCTGCCACCCAGAGAAAGCTGAAACTATGGAGCGGCAGCAGCAGACCTGCAGAGGATACCCTCTTCCTGCAATAAATGCAGGATCACTTGGGGTACAAGATAATTCAGGGTACATTTTGATACAAGACAAGGGCTGAAAGGAGCTGTAGCCCAGCCTAGGCAAACACAGCATACCTGGGCACCTCAGGTCTTTATTCAGGGGCCTCACTTATTTCTCCAGATCAGAGATCTGTGCCTCAGGTGGCTGAAGAGAGGTCTCAGAGGGATTAAGTTCTCAAGCTGAGACCTGCCCCTGTGTTTGTCTTTGCAAAGACCTACTGTGATGCTCAGGTGGTAGAGCCACAGCAGCACAGCAGCTGAGCAGGGACATAAATTATAATAGCAAAATTAAGTTTTTGCCTGTATAGCTCACTATAGCTCCCCTGAGTGACATAAGCAAAAGGGCAATTTTGTCAACATAACTATTTAAACAGGGGCTTCTGCTGGCACAAGCACACGGGCAGACATGGACATCACCCACTGCCCTGCCTCCCAGCTCTCAGAGCCCAGCCCAGCCAGGGACACCCTGTCCACTTTGCAGCCAGCCAGAGCTTGCTGCGGTTAAAAGCACGGAAGTTACTTCTCCTTTTGGATCTGCTGAGAAAAGCAAAAAAAATCAAGAAGTTCCTTTTTATTTCCCTCCCCACCCAGCCCAGTTTCCTCCTTCCCTTCCAGCTGGCACTGGGAGGGCGCAGGGGAGCCCTGCAGCCCCCCTTTATCAGCCGTTGCCTCTGCCTTGAAGGTAGCACAGGAAGACTGAGGATCAGGTTTTTTTAACACTAATTCATGTACTTGGGCACTTCATACCAAGGGTGATTGCCCCAGCCCCTCCCCAGCTGCAGGCACAGGCTTCTCCTCCACCCTGGTCACCCTGGGGGACCAGCCTCTACTTACAGGAGCAGAAGGCTAAGGAAAACGATGAGAAGCAGCCAAGTGACAAAAGAAAAGTTTGGCAGAACCATTGTGTCTTCCAGCCTGTCCTGGGAGCACCCGTCTCCTGTGAAGCCGCAGCTTTGGTTTATAATTTTTTTTTCCCCGGCCTTTAGCCACAGCCATGCCCTCATGACGGCAAAGGAGGAGTTGTCTTGTTTGCTCCATTGCTCAAACTTTAACCCTTGGGCAGGTTTCTCCCTGGATTGAGATGTCAATAAGATGCCCAGCGCCACATGTCTTGAGATTTGAAACTGTTGAAAGGACAGTTTTTACAAGGGGAAAAGGTAGCAAAGGGCATGAACTTCCTTAACCCTTTCTTCCTGCCTCTCACACGAAAGCCACGAGGTTCATGTGGGCCTGAGGGGGACCCCCTGGCTGTTCCTGCAGCAGCAGCGATGCTGAAGCAGACTTGCTCCCCCTTACCCTGTCCAGTCTTGCTTTTGCTGGCTTCATTGCTTTTATTGAGGGGTATAATTGGGAGGGCCCAGGAACTGCCACTGTTCCCCGACCCAGCTCCTGGGGGGTTTCTGGCTGCCCAGATCACCATATACCTTCCCTCGTGCCTCCCCGCTCCCATCCCCTTTTATTTTGTCCTCCCGCACCTCCTATTTAGGGCCCAGGAGAGAAGGGGCTGGAGGAGACAGACCTGCTGGGAAACACTTGCCCAGGACTGAAAGGGGTCTGTCATCCTCAGGCAGAGCCCTCTGGACCTCAGACTTGGTGAGGAGCACAACCTGTGTGTGCACTTGAGCCGATGGGAGTTTCTCTTGACGTCCCACTGCACAGCTTGGTGGCTTTGTTGACTTGCCTGCCCATGGCTCAAGCCCCAGGAAGCGACCAGGGCATAGGCATCCATGCAGGAGGTGGTTGAGGACTGAGCAATCCGCTGGCACGCTGAGCACTGCGCTCACAAGGAGGTCAGCCAGCGCCAACGCTCCCCAGCCATGGCATTTTGGGATGGGTTTCCATTCCACTTCTGCTCCTGACTTTCTGTTTGCTCTCAGGCGTGGGGTTGCACAAGATGTCTTTTGTTATTTGGCTTTAGGCAGCTCAGTGTCCCCCAGACACACACATGGAACCAGCTGCTTTCTACCAGAGGAATGGGGAAAATGCATTATGCATACGGGCAGACTGTGCAGTGGAGCCTCTGGCCAGTTTAGCTCCAGGTATGCAAACTCTCTGTGCTGGTGGGTGGCTGTGGGGATGGGTCAGAACGTGGTCTCCTTTGCCCCCATCACACTGGGAAGGACCATGAGTCTCCTATTCTGTGCAGTCCAGCGCAGTCCCCTTCCCCGTGTCCCCTGAGCCCACCGGCAGACCCACATGGCTAAGGGGAGACGAGCCCTAGATGAGAAGCCCACATGCACCGTACTCCCCTGCACCAGGCATCGCTCTTCTGCCTTGGGCACACTCAGCCTTGAAGAAACCCAAGTGCTTTTGCAATTATCTGCCAGTCAGCGCAGGCAGATTGCGTGTGGCCGTGCCCAGAGGCCAGCAGCGTTCTTTGCCTCTGCCCGAATATTTATTTTGCCTCATAAAACACATGCAGCGGGTGCTGAGCCACCAGCAGGTCCAGAGGTCACCTCCACACCCACGTAGAAGAACCAAGCAGCAGCACTGCCATTTTTGGTAGGACAACATCTCAGACATCCCCAGCTTTGCATGCCCACGATGTGCTCCATGATTCATGTAATCAGGGGCTGACAGGAGTCTATTAGCTGGTTTATGGAGGCATGTGCCTGATTCCTGCTTCCCCAGGCTGCACTGAAGAGCTGAAACCCGGCAGCGTGCTGTGGCTGAGGGCTGCGGCGGGAACCTTATTCTCCATTTTATGGCGTCTCCCCCTTATAAGACACCTTGAAGCAACCATACCCTGGGAGATATCCTTTAGCATTGCATCCAAAGGCCAGTTCTCCCCCTCACAGGGTCCCATACCAGAATGGCATCAAGAACTGCGATGAGAGGTGGGAGGAGAAACCAGGTGCCAGGGCAGCAACCCCCTGGCCAGGATTAGCTGCATTTCTTCCCTCGCACAAACCCTTTGATTTTCCAATAACCTCTTGTAACAGCCGTTGTGATTTCTCAGTGGGAAGCAGGTTTACGGATCAGTATTTTCTTCTCTCTCAGACAGAAACTGAGGCAAAGCCAGACTTCAGAGGAGAACAAGGATGTTAGCTACCTCAAAAAGAAGTAAATAAACTGTGCAGCAACTTCACATGCAAGGAAATTGCTCGTTTGTCCAAAATAGGTTTGAGTGAGAGCAATCTGCTGATCTAGAGGTGACACTCTAAGGAGAAGACAAGATGCAGGGCCTCATCAAACCCATGGTGCTCCATCATGCAGCCGGTGGGGGGGGGGACGACAGTGACACCATCCCCCTGACCCATTTCACATCAGGACCACTTCTCTCCCCAGCAGCGACACGCTCTCCTAACCTCCCCGTGACCCTTCAGGGACGAACGCTCAGGAGGGGAAACCCTGATGGCTGGCGGCGAGGATGTTACTGCGCAGGGCTCCCACAGCCGGGCTCTGCAGCGTCCCCGACAAGAGCCACATCCGCCGGTTACGCTCATGGCTGCAGAACTTCTGCAAACTCCTTATTTACCTGATTTTTGTTTTGTTTTGGGGTTGGCTTTTTTCCCGCATGTCTCTCAGAGTGCTGTTGTCTCCCTGGCTCCACAGATTTGAGAAGATCAGTTGATAAAAATTCCACCTCCCAACGAAAATTGCAACCACAGGTCAGAGCTGCAGGTGGGGCAATCCTGAACACTCAGCATCACATACTTTTATACAAAATGGAGGTATTAAAGCGATGCTTTTATACTTACGCAGCCCTTTGGACCAAATGCAATGGTAGAGTGTGTACTTACTGAGGCTATTGTTTTAATGTGAGTATCACTGAAATGGCACCCAGGAGGGATAAAGCAGAGGGGAAGGTTCTCCAGAACATGTTTCCTGGCAACATTTAAAGGGTTTTAGCATTGTGGGCAAGAAAACCACACAACAGTGCTGCAGGTGAGGCTGCTGCGGCATCCCAGCACCTTGTCTGAGAGAAGGGAAGAAAGTTGCCCAAGTTTGGGTTGGGGTCCCTACACAGCTCTCATCTGTCCAAGGCTGGTGACCTTGAAAAAATGTCCTGCAGTACTGAAAGGGGAAGCGACGGGTGCTCCCCACACTGCTCATGCAGCAGATGTGCTAAAACAAATGAAAAATAGCAGCAGTAGCAGACTGCGAGTTGACATCAATGCTGCTTCTAATTTCACCTGTTTCACAAAATTGTCACTTCCCCCCCCCCCATTTCAGATAATAACTTATTTAATATGAAACGTCTCTGTGAGAGCTGTTAAACCCATCAGTAAGAGTCACATCAACGGCCAGCAGCCTCTTCAGTGCACCGGGCTACAGGCACCATTATATATGAGAAGACAGAGATGGTTTACAGCCCTAGTGATGTTTCCAGGGTTAATTATCTGTCTATAAATAGACAGATAATCTGTCTAATTATCTGACCCAGAGTAATCCAAAAGGAACTTCCTCCTGGGGGTCATGAGCAGACGTGGCCTCAGCCCCTCTGACATCGTCCTTCGTGCTGAGACCAACACAGTGCTGTTGCTTTCCCCATTAGTAAGAAAACCCAAGGACCCTAAAGAGGCTTGCGGGATTCCTGGTGATGTGCACAGTGCTATAAAAAGACTATATATATTCTTATACTGGCGAGGAGGATTGACTCAGTGTGACCCCTGCTTCCCCCATGGCAAGGTCTCCTGTAGTGGTCCTTGACACCACCAAAGCCATGACCCTGCATGCCTCCCACGCTCGTCTGCTGGCCACCACGTGGTCCATCGCACCGTGGTGGCTCCTGGAGTGTTTGCTCCTCTCACACCACCCTGGCAACAACCCTGGTTCAATATTAACTCGCATGCTATCTACCACTCCTCATCGCAGCAGTGCCAGGGTGCTTGGCTTTCATGCATCAGATACTCTACCTGCGTTTGTGTTACTGTCATCCCGGAGCACAGCGCCTTTCCACTGTGGCCAGCACCCTGCATTCCTCTCCTCTACGCCGAGAGAGGACAGGTGGCAAAGCAAAGTAGATATGTGGGGATTCAAAAGCTGATGGTCACCATGGTTGATACAAACAAGGTGATTTGAGCTGTGATAACTGGCCGTAGTCACTGGTAGTGTCACAGCTGTAAAAATGGGACAATGCATCTTAGGGCAACCAGGGAAATGACGACTGAATTGATGGGGCATAGAAGATGGTATTAAACCTCATGCAGAACTTCAGAGGACCAGGGCTGACAAACGAAAACCCCTTCTGCTTGTAAAAACTCCTTGAGAGGCAGAGGTACATAAACTATTAAACTGCAGAGTCGTCCCCAGAGGAGAGGGGATTTTACCACCGTCTGGTTGGCGGGACTGAAAGAGACCAAGGAGAGAGAAGTCCTGCGTGGACACAGACCAACAGGTAGAAGACCACCCCCAGGAGACACGTCCTCTGCTACATCTCAAGCTTTTTCTTTAGTGGCTGTATTGTAGACCCAAAGGTTTTCCTTTCCTCCACATGCTATGGAAAAATTCACATTGTAACAGACAACGGTCTTCTAATGGACATACCAAAATGTCAGCCTTGTTAAAAACCAGGCTTTTATTCACTGATTGTCCCATCTTTAACAATTCTCTTGTTTTGATCCTCTCATCCCACAAATGGGATCACGAGCTGTTTATTTCTGGCTCTTCCTTACAAACCTTGCTCTCAAATAAGCCTCTTGAAAGGACTAAATGGGAAAGCACCAGATGTACGACTTCCTAGAAGAGCTCCAGCAGCCAGGGAATGACCGAGGGCTGGCACTGGTTCCTGCCTTCATTCTCACCGAGCCCAAAACCACAGAGCACTTCATGCCTGGGTATTTCTGAGACCTCTGCAGAGCAAAAACACCATGTTGCTCCTTTCATCCAGCAACGCTGCTGAATGGTCCTGAAGCATCGACAGCTGAAACCCATCTCCCTTTCACTCCTCTATAATTTCCAAGCAAGGATGGAAAAATATAAACCACAGCCAGTGTT